TGTCTGTACTGCTGCATCAGGTTCATAAATTATTTTCAAGAAATTATTTTTATTGCTACAGTATCAAGTTTATCTTGGCAGCTGTGATCTTCTTGGGCCTTCTATTCTGTTTTCTTCCATTTCCCTCCCTCTCCTCTCTTTGCATGTCTTCTCAGGAATCCTAGGACTTTTTCCTTTTAAGAGATTACCTTCAGTACTCCAGAGGAGGAGTAGGGGAATGTCTGGGAATTCAAGGCCAGCCTGGATTGCATAGTTAGACCCTGTCTCAAAAAAACCCAAATCCATAAATATTACAAAATGAAAGCGATTACAATTATGTTGGCTCATTTAAATTCTGTTCCATGCTTGAAGATTTAGAACAGAAGACAATTTTATCTCTCACTTTTTCTTAATGCTGTATTACCTCTTGGGAAGCTTGACTCTATTCTATAGTGATTTGCTTTTGTAGATTTGAAGGGTAGAAATAAATGGAAGTAGGACATCATAATTAAGAAAATCATTATTCTTTTTTTAAAAAACTGTGATTAATAAAACTATGTCTATTAACATGCCACTTAGGTTGTTCAGGGAATGTGGGTAAATGAGATACAGTTTTGAAACAGAACCATTCTGTAGAGTGATCTGTTTTTCTGAAAGATAAATTGAAGTATAAAACCCATTTTAAAGAAAGAGGCCTGTTTTTGTGATCTCAATGTTTTCCTATACCCAGTTGCTCTCAAAGTATTGCCATCAGACCAGCAATGTCTGAGCACCTGGATATGTGTACAGGTTAACCTGCCTATCTCAGACTTTTAAACGGTTCTGATATGGCAGTTTGAGGACCATAGCTATAGAACAACAATTTGATTGTCTTGTTAGTTGTTGGAGTAATGGTATATAGACCTGACTTTATATTGCAAATGGTAAAATCCAATTTAAAATAGCCTGGAAAAAAAGTTATAAAAGAGGCTCCCTTGGGTGTACTAGGAAGTTAGTGATTGGGGTATCTCACTGATTCAGCGCTCCAGTTGTAAAGAATGAGACCCTGTGGCTAGAAATACTTGATTCTATGATGTTACTTTGCCTTTATAGGTGGGATACATACTTCAGAACTAGGAAAAATAGTCATAGGTCTGACCACAGTTCACGTGTGAGTTAAACAATTCCATGAAGACCTGCTTTTTCCCATTTACAAGCCCATTCCTTAACCATTATGTTCATGAGGTGAGGGTCAGTGCTCTGGGTTATGTGTCTATTTCTAGGAAGAAGGAGAATGGGCAGGCATGCCACTAGGATACTGTAGTTCACTATTTCATATCGTAGTTGGTTTGCCGTAGACTTACGCTCTAAGGCATCCAGAAAACATAGATAAGTGACAAGGTGGCTCAGTGTGTAAAGCACTCGCCACACAGCCGAGGACCTGAGGTGGAGCCCGGGATCCTTGTCAACGTTGTCCTCTGACCTCCACATGTGTGCACTCCTACACATGCATCATATATACATACAGTAACAAAATGTGCAGAGGTGTATGGAGAAGTTACCCAATGTTTTCCTACATCCTCATTCATTTCTGCATATCTTCTTTCATAGTTACATATAGCTATGTTATATTGTTACATATAGCTATGCTATATTGTTAGGTTTTTTTCCCTTTTGTTTTGCTTGAGACACTTTCTCTTTATAACACAGGCTGGATTTGAACTGCTGATTTTTCTACCTTAGCCTCTTAAGTGCTGGGATTACAAATGTACAAGTTTGAACATGTTTTTGTTAAGCATAGTTTCTTATTTTGAATTTTCAATTTCTTTATCCATTTACCTATTAGCATCTTTTTAGTCTGGACTCCTTAGTAGAATTTAAAAAAGGCTTATTTAAAATTTTCATTTATTGCACTTCACTTTGTGTGCCTGTATGTGTGTGTGTCGTGGTGCTCCTGGAGGTCAGAAGACAGCTTGGAGTCACTTTTGTTCTACCGTGTGGGTCCTGAGAAGTGAACTCAGGTCCTCAGGCTGGTGGCAGCCGTTACCCACTAGGCTACTTCAGTCCCCATACAAACCTATTCATTTTATACCATTTTGATGTTTTCTCTCTCTTTTCTCCACCCCTCTCCATGTGTGTGTCTTCATATGTGTGTGTGTCTGCATGTGTGTGCTTATAAAGACAAGAGTGTATAAAGGTCAGAAGATAACCCCAGGTGTCAGTTTTCACCATCCACCTTGCTTGTAACCTGACCTCTGTTTGCTGTTGCGTATACAGACTAGCTACTCTATAAGTTTCCTGGGATTCTCCTGTTTTTGTATCCTATCTCTGCGCAAGAACACTGGGATTACAGGTGCCATTTCTGGGGACAAACCCAGGTCCTCATGCTGTCCACTGAATTGTTTCCCCAGCCTTGTTTTCTGATATTTAAAAAACAAGTGAGTGTATGTGTGCATGCACGTGCTTGTAAGTACAGGTGCCATGGGAGGCCAGAGAATTCAGATTCTGCTCTTAGAGAACCTGAATTCGGTTTCAGCACCCACACTGGGTACCTCATAATCACCTGTAACTCCAGCTCCGGTACATACTCGAAACACCTGTGCCATCCCTCCAGCCCCTTATTACTATGACCCGTCTCACTATGTAGACAGGGATGGCCTTGAACTCACAGAGCTCTGCCTGCCCCTGCACCACCACACCTAGCTCCTTTCATTTTTTTCTTCATATTATTAGTGCTTTGAGATTTTATTTAGATGCTGCAGTTATTAAAAGTATAAAAGTTCGGGGCTGGAGAGTATTTCCAGAGACACTGTAAATTCTAGTTTCCTGTGGTATGATGCCCTCTTCTGGCCTCTGCAGGCACTGCACACAAGTGTTACACAGACACAGGCAAAAGACTTGTACACATACAATAAAAATAAGAGGGGTAGGGCCTGGAGAGATGGCTCAGCAATTTATTGCATTTGATATTGTTACAGAGGTCTAGGGTTTGATTCCCAGCATCCACGTGGTGGCTCAGAATCCTCCATAAATCCACTTTTAAGGATTCCGAACTCCTTCTTCTGGCCTCTGAGGGCACCATGTGTACATGTGGTGCACTTATATACATGCAGGGGAAAACACCCATACACTTAAAAGAAAAAGTTTTAAAAAACAGTTACTGGAAGGAAAATGCCATTTTAAAGCTGCTTTTTAGTTATTTCTGTAAGCTAATGGTTCTTGATTTATTGTGAGGTTTAACAATAATGGCAGGGAACAAAGAACCATTAATAACACTTTATTTTATTAATGAGATTTTATATGATAGGTCTAAACTTTATCATGAGTTAAAAATTTATACAGTACTTATGATTAGCCTTCTGTTAATATAATCAAAGCATATGTAATTTTTTTCTGGAAAAGGCATTTACTCATTAAGAAAATTATGGCAGAAATCTGATTAAATACAGAAAATTTTAGACTCTTCAGGCAGCCTGGTGTTTTGAAAAAGCCTTGTGCTTTGGCAGGAGCCCAACAGAGGAAGTGCTTGCATCTGCTACATTCTAGAAGCTTTCCCCAGATCACTGTAAGGCAGCCAAGAAAACTGTATTTCACTACTGTGTGGTTCTGGAAGGATCTGGAAATTTGTAGCAAACTTGAGGGAGGAAATATAGTTCTTCCAGGATGCCATTTTATTGTAGTGATCTATTTTTATTGGGTTTAACTTAAGAGTGAAGGTGAAGGTACTTTTCAGCTTTTATTAAATAGGGAGTTTCAGTTAGGCCTCTGAAAAGCCTGTTGGTTTAGACAGATTCACATAGGAAAGATGGAGAAATGCCGACAAGAATTAGGTTGGCAAGTCAGACTAGGCAGTGGGAACCTGCTTCTGAAGCAAGTTGTACTGTAGTGGTGCCGCACTGCTGTAAGCAGCGGGAAAGCCCATGAGAAGGAGGAAGGGTGCTAGGGCAGTTGGTGAAAGCCAGGCAGAGCCTTTCATCACGAGCAGTCCTCACTAGAAAAGACTGCTCCCAGGGACAGTGGAGGACAGGAGGCAGGGGTGGCAGGAGGCTCTAGGGGTTAAAGGACTGTGAGGGCCAGAGTTCAGACCCCCAGAATGCAGACATTATGCCACGTGGTGTGTGAGTCTGCCTGTGATTCCAGCCTTAGATGGCAAAGACCTGATCTGTAGAGCAAGCTGGCTAGAGACTAGCTGTGTGAGTGAGCTCTGGGTTTGGTTGAAAGAACCTGCCTCAATGAATAATGTAGAAGGGTGGTTGGGAGGTTCCAGATGTCAACCTCAGACTGTGCATGCACACACATGTGCACCACACACAAAGGAATGGGAAAAGAAAAAAGGGGGGGTGTGTGCTTTTCTACAAGGTTGGAATTAGGGGAAAATCACAGCAGTGTACTAACTAGGCTTGAGAGTTTTTGATTTTTAAACATAGAACATAGTAGTAAGAGAAGTTAGCCCATCTTAAGAACAGAAACAGTGAGTTACAGGACAGCCAGTGCTGGGGAGGGGTGGGGGGGAATGGCTAAAGAGCTCTGAATATTTTTTCTTATAAGCCATTTCTGACATTTTAAAAATATATTGGTGATGTTTAAAGTATATTTTTGTTGTGAAAATTCATGTTTTAGATCTAGTCAAAGGGAAAAGTATTTTCCATTCTATAAAAAAGCCTCAGCTGTTAAGAACACTTTTTGCTTTTCCAGAGGATCTGAGTTCTGCTCCCAGCACCCATATCTGTTGGCTTACAACTGCCTGCAACTTCAGTTCTGGAGTTCTAGGGCATCTGATTCCTCTGACCTGCAAGGACACCCATACTTGTATACACAGTGTAGACACATATAATTAAGAATAATAAAAGTAAATCTTAAAAAAACCCACAGCTCTTAATTGCTCTACTTAAAATAGTAACAGGAAAACAAATGGGTTGAAGTTTTTCTCTTGTATGGAGCATCTAACTCTGCTAAGATCATAAATTAGCTGTTATTAAATTGATTTATAAAAATCACCATCAATTCTAGCCTGGAGACTCACTGCTGTGCTGTTTTTATAGGTGTGTGAACCCATGAAGTCTTCCAAGATGATCTGGTGTGTTTTAATGATAGGGATTCTACTTCCTCAGTCTTCAGCCCATCCAGGCTTCTTTACTTCAATTGGTAAGTCTTTACTATTTATAACTTACTGGGTTTTACATTTTAAAATTTACCTGTTTTTGTAGTTTTAAATAGAAAAAAACAAATGCATTATATTCCTGAAGACTGACCTTGGTTTACAAACCCTTTACCTATCTAAACAGGCAGTTTTAAAAAATCGGTTATGTCTGTCTGCTTTTCTTCTTTACAATTTTTTAAAACAATGTTTTATTGGGTATGTGGATTAAGGCGGGGTCTCTGTGTGGAGTGGGACTCTTAACAGAGCAAGTACATAGACGGTAAGAGCTCCCGTTCTTTCTTGTTCTCAGAGTAGACTTGAAAGTTTGAGCTGTGTCTGTCTATAATTTCCTCTCTGTATACTTCATATGTGTAATGAAGTGTTAAGTGAGATGTTTCCCTTCTTTCTATTAACCATTTTGACCCTTCTAAAATTGTAGAACTAAAACAGAAGTGTAGACATTTCTTAACACTTGATTTCAGTATATAAAATGAGGAGCCCTCTTAATCTTTAAAAAGAAAAAATTTTAAACATTTTTGCAACTTTCTCAAGTGTGGTTTGTATTTTGTTTTGTTTTGTTTTTATCAAAAATTTGATCCTGACTAGTCTTAAACCCAAAAGATGAGGTATAAAACCAGAGACAATAAAGAAAAAAAACAGTAATTCTTAGAAAGTAGTGTTATTTGTTAATTTAAGTTTGTAAATGAAAACACCATTTCCCAAAATAGTCTAAGTTGACAAAATTTATTAGTTACAAAAGCTAGAACTAGAACTCATGATTAGATTTTTATTTGGATTAATTTGGTTTATCTGGTAAAAAAAGAAAAATGAGGGAAAATGATCTTTTACAGCATATCTGTTCCATTCCAGTTAAATCCTCCTAAAAGATTTATATTGATGAATATTTAATAACCTTTCTCTTCCCATGTAGGTCAGATGACTGATTTGATCCATACTGAAAAAGATCTGGTGACATCACTAAAGGATTACATTAAAGCAGAAGAGGACAAGTTAGAACAGATAAAAAAGTAAGTGTGTTTCCTTACAATAGCTCCAACTCTACCTGAATGCACCAAGAGTGGAAATGAAAACCAGTTAAAATGTCTAAAGCAGTGAGCACAGGAAAATGGGTTAATCTGGGTCGGGGTTCATGTTTGTCAGCTTTGTGTTAGGTAGAGGTCAAAGGTTGACATTAGTTGTCTTGCTTTATTGCTATCTACTTGTTTTTTAAGACAGGCTCTCTTAACTGAACCTGGCAAGGCTAGTTGGCCGGTTAATTTCAGGGATCTTCCTCTTTCCACCTCCCCAGCACACACCACTGTCAGTGTGGGTGTTGGAGCTGAACTCAAGTGCCCATCCTTATGTAACAAGCACTTTCCCACCTGAGCCATCTCCATAGTCCCTACTTAGCTTTTTCACTACTGTGACAAAGTAACTTGACAAAAATTAGTTGGAGAAAATAATTTACTTTGTCTGACAGTTCAGCTGTCTTAGTTCCATTCCATTAAAACATAGCAGCTCACATAATGGCAGTAGGGAGCACACAGAGAATGCAGGGGAAGCAGGCTCCCTCCTTCCTGAGCCTGTGTTGATGCTGCACACATCAGGGTATGTCTTTCCTACCTAATTTTCTCTGAAAACACCTCATGGATAAACCCAAAGCTGTACTCAATCTATTTAATCAATCTAATGGTGTTGACAGTCCAGATTAACCATCACAGTGAGGAAGAATATGGATGGATGAAGATGTAGGTGTCCCAAATAAGCCACCTGCTTGAGTAGTTTTTCCAGTTCTACTCCTGGGATTCTGTCATAGAGCTTACAGTTAATGTTATGTTTTATATGTGTTTTTTGGGGGGGTGTATAGTGGTTTTTCTAGAATGTTAATTTTATTGACACAAATTTATAGTTAATCCTGACCTGAGAATTTGTGTTTTGTTTAATGAATGTCTTAGTATTGATATTTGGGTGTGTGTGTGTGCATGTTTTGAGACAGTCTGACTGTGTAGCACTGGCTGACTGAAACTCACTGAGATTGACCTGCTTCTGTCTGCTGAGTGCTGGGATTAAAGGTGTGCACCTGGCTGATGTTTCTGCTTTAAAACTTGTTTTCTACATAGAGTTTTTAAAGATTTGCCACAAATTAGCCAAACATGGTTACACACACATGTAATTTCAACACTTAGGAGGGAGGGGCAGGAGGATCACAATGAAGGCCAATCTAGACTGCATAATATAATAAAACAAAGCAATAATAATAATGATTAGTAATAATAATAAAAATTTTTAGCATGAGTTAGGCTAAGCTTAGTGGCATGTACCAGTGCTCACTGCCACCGCAGGGGATGAAGCAGGGAAATCTCTTGAGTCCAGAAATTCAAGACTAACCTTAGTGGCAGCATAGTGAGATCCAGTATTTTTTTAAAAGGAAAAAAATGTGTAAGGGGCTAGAAAGATGACTCAGCAGTTAAGGGCACTGGCCACTCTCTCAGTAGATCCAGGTTCAATTCCCAGCACCCACAAGGTGGCTCCCAACTGTCTGTAACTCCAGACCCAGATCTGATCTCCTCTTCTGGCCTCCTCAGGCAGCAGGCATGCACATGGTAAGCATATTTTCATGCAGGCAAAACACTCATACACAACAAAAAAAAAATAAGAAAAAAGTACAAATTTGTTTTTAGGGTCTAAGTTGCTTTAAATGCATACTTAACAGAATTTAGACAGGGCCTTTTTATTATTATAATAATTTTAGCCTCTTGGAACTTATGAGGAAATGAAAGTTTTGAGTGATTAAAATTTTAGCTTTGACCAAGATGAGATTCCATTTGTGAGAAATAACCTAAAACAGAAAAGTTGTGTATTTTTTATTCTATTAAGTTAGATTTTTATCTATAAGATCTTATGCTTTAGAGTCTTTATAATTTTACTTTAAAAAGAAATTATAGATAGTATCTTTAAATGAAAACCTTATAATTAGTTACTTTTCCCAAGTTCTTTACTTGTGTGTAATTTTTCTTTGGTACACTTTTTTTCAGGAAGTCAGGAGGGACTTGCTAGATCATGCTAGCCTTGAATTCACAGGGATCCACTTGCCTCTGCCTCCTGAGTGCTGGGATTAAAAGCATGTGCCAGATTTGGGTTGGTGGGGAAGTGAAGAGGAGTTGGGAAAGGGGAAACTAATCTGAATATATTGTATGGAAAAAAAAAAAACATTTTCAGGAACAAAAAAAAAAAGCATGTGCCACCATGCCTGGCTTAGTTCACTACTTTTATGTCTTATATCTTTAGATGGGCAGAGAAGTTAGACCGACTAACCAGTACGGCAACCAAAGACCCAGAAGGGTTTGTTGGACATCCTGTAAATGCATTCAAATTAATGAAGCGTCTGAACACTGAATGGAGTGAGTTGGAGAATCTGATCCTCAAAGATATGTCAGATGGTGAGTTTACAGAGACTTCAGAACCCAAAACCAACTCATTCCTAGTATAGCAGAGGTTTATGTTATAATTGAATTATTGCATGTATGTTTTGTTTGACTAGAGATAGTTGAAATCTGGAGCATTTTATTAAAAAAAATAGTAACTTCTAATATTATTGACAGAATGGGTGATTTTTGCCTTTTGATCTATAGAAGTGATTAGATTATTTGGAATAGAACTTCATTTCTAAGAGTAAAAACATTGGGAATTGAGTTACAAAGAAGAGTTTTAGCTGTGTTCTACCTAGTATATTGTGTTTAGAGTTATTTTACTTATCGTAGGCAATAAATAAAAAAAGAACCTAGAGACCTTAATACTCAAATCTTTCTACACAAAATATTAAAATTGTAGTTGGAGTGTTGATATTCTGGTTAAAAAAAAAAAAACCAGGCCTGAATTTAATGAGGTAAAGGGATTTTGTAGTGTACAGTAGAAGTTCAACCGAACCATCTGTAGATAATATGTTCTCTAGAATGCTACCAGTTTTAGCAAGCAGTAAAGGACACCTTACAGTCTCTTTATCCATGGTAGTTACAGTTAGCCACAACTCCAAAGTGTGGAAAACTTCCAAACTGAACAGGAAATTGTAGTTTTGTGGCTTTCTGACTGAGATGAATTCCTCTGCTGCCCTGCTGGACTGTGAGGCCCCTTCCTTGCAGCATATCCCTGCCCTTAGTCCTTAGCAGCCCTCTGTTCTCAGAGCATTGTTGCAATCTCACGTTTCATAGTGTTAAGTAACGCGTGGATCACACATGATCCACAAGTGCAAGCATAATGATGCTGCAATTTGGATGTGTCAGAGAGAAGCAATAGAATGTTCTGTAAGTGAAAGCTCTTGACTTAGAAATGAAGGCAAAAACATAGAAGTTGCTAAGAACCTTGGTAAGAATAAGCTTAATGTTCATTAAATTGTGAAGAAGGAAAGGAAATTATAGTTCTGCTGTTGCACCGCAGATTACAAAAGCTATATACATGAGCTCAGTTAGCTAGAAAAGATACTGGCTGAACTTGTATATGTATATGAAAGGAAATTTAGTCTTGTTTTTCAAAGTTTTGGCACTGTCCATGCTTTCTTTTAACTACTAAAAGTTTTGCAGTGGGTCTCCTGTGGGTAAGGAAGGAACACTACTACCTATAGGACCATGAAAAGTAATGGCAGATGGTTGTGCCTACTTCTTTACCTTGAGCTGGCTTTCCCATTATATTCCTCCTGAGACCATTTATTGCATTGAATCTGAGGATTGCTTTGGGTAAGATTGCCATTTTTACTATGTTGATTCTACCTACCCAAGAGCATGGGAGATCTTTCCACTTTTTGGTGTCTTCTTCAATTTCTTTCCTCAAACATTTAAAGTTCTTGTCATACAAGTCTTCTACTTGTTTGGTTAGAGTTACTTCGAGATATTTTATGCTATTTGTGGCTATTGTGAAGGGTGTTGATTCTCTGATTTCTTCTCCAGCCCATTTATCATCTGTGTACAGGAGGGCTGATTTTTTTTTTTTTGAGTTAATTTTGTACCCTGCTACATTGCTGAAAGTGTTTATGAGTTGTAGTGTAGGGATAAGTCCCGCCCCTTAAAGGGCGTGTTCGCCTCGGGCTAATGTCTGCCTATAAATTTGGCGAGCAAGCTCTGAGCTCTCGCTTCTGCTTTCCTGGTCTCCGCGGGAACGGTGGTTCTGTAAGTCTATTTCTACATTAAAGCTATATATATATTTTTACACTCTGTCTGCATTCATTTACGCCGTTACATTTTGGCGTCCAACGTCGGGCTATTTTGCCCCCGACTCAAGCGGGTAGCCCGCTAGCTAACACAGCACCCTCCCCGGTGCTGTTTTTCAGTTCGTGACTCCGGCCCCAGTGCCGAGTCCGAGACACACTCGGCGACACAGGCCCATTCTGCCTGCCTTGGCTAAGTTTTGCAGCGGAACCCCACTGCCTGAATTAGCAGAAGCTCAAGTACTTGCGGTTTTGCAACAAAAGCTGCCACAGCGTCAGATTTGGTCTGTTACAAAGTGACTTGGCCGGTTGTGGTGGCCCACGCCAGTAGGATTTGTTGAAGGAGGCAGAGGCAGGAGGATCACAAGTTTGAGGCCGGCCAGGCAGTGGTAGAGCACGCCTTTAATCCCAGCACTTGGGAAGCAGAGGCAGGCAGATCTCTGTGAGTTTGAGGCCTGCCAGGCCTTGGTAGTGCACGCCTTCAATCCCAGCACTTGGGAGGCAGAGACAGGCGAATATCTGTGAGTTCAAGGCCAGCCTGGTCTACAAGAGCTAGTTCTAGGACAGGCTCCAAAAACACAGAGACCACCACTGGCAGGAACCGATCTTTGCAGGTAAAAAAATTTTCTTTTATAAATAAAATGTCTGAACACATTACTGTTCAAGAATTTAATGATTTTTTTAATTGTACCATGTGGGAGATTTTACAAGAGGTGTCTATCACCCCACATATATGGATCCTTCTGGGATTCGTAGTTTTCATTGGCACCAAATGGTTTGATAATAGAAATATGATAAAGTCTTTACGAGACGAATCCAGGATTCTTAAGGTAGAGATTGAACGCTTAAAAACAATTGAGAATGACAACAATCTTCTCAAGAATCAGTTTGAAGTTCTCCAGGCTGATAACAATCTTCTCAAGAATCAGTTTGAAGTTCTCCAGGCTGATAACAATCTTCTCAAGAATCAGGTTGAAGTTCTCCAGACTGATAACAATCTTTTCGAGAATCGGTTTGAAGTTCTCCAGGCTGATAACAATCTTCTCAAGAATCAGGTTGAAGTTCTTCAGGCTGATGTTAAGGAGAAATTCATTACTATGGAAGAGGGAACAGCTGATCTGGACCATAAGATTCAGTCCCTTTCTGTAGGAAATGAAACATTAACTGAGAGAATCAAAACTGCTGAATGTGACAATCGGATTTTGTCTAAAGCTTATGACAGATTGACGGAAAGATTGTCAATACAAGAAGGCACGGTTTATGCCATAAAAATTATGTCCAAAGATGAGATGTTATCTCTAACGGACAAACTTCATATTTTAGAATCCTCAATGAAGGCTTTGGAACATAATTCTGGACAGGAGATTCAGACATTGCAGAAAGCAATGGTGAATAGAATTGAAAAGATTGAGGAATTTCTAAATTCTGATGAGGAAGAGCAAAGGGTAGAAAGGAAAATTTTAACTACATCTGTGGGTAAGTCTCTCCGGGACAATTTCCACAAAGCTCTACCTACAGCTCTACCTGCCTTTCCAGTAATAACAACAGAGAAGGTGATTGGTTCCAAAAACCCTAGGGTCATCAAGGAGGATACATGGGAACCTGTGCGTATGAATGATCTCAAGGAAATAAAACAGGCTGTCATGACTTTTGGGATGCAAGCCTCTTTTGTTAAAGAGATGCTAAGATCTTGGGCCACGACAAGCAGAGCAACCCCCTCAGACTGGCTCCAGCTGAGCTCTGCGGTACTGGAGAGTGGACCGCAATTGAAATGGAAATGCTTATTCAGGCAAGAGGCTAGACTCTTAGAACAGCAGGAAAAAGCGAAGGGAATTGACATTTCCCTAGATCAAATTCTAGGTGAAGGGCTCTTTTCTGATCCTCAGGAACAAGCTAATTTGGATGAAAACACACTCTCCATGTGTACTACAGCAGCCTTAAGGGCTTGGGACAGGGTACAAGACCCAGGACAGAGAATGGAATCATTTGTCAGAGTTAAACAGGGTCAGAGAGAACCCTTTAGTGACTTTTTACCAAGATTAACTAAGGCTGTACAAATAGGAATATCTGACCCAGAAGCAAGACGTATAATGATTGAGTCTTTGGCTTATGAAAATGCAAATGTGGAATGCAAAAGGATTTTGGGTCCTTTAAAGCTCAGATCAGCACCGTTGGAAGAATGGGTCTTGCATACACTCAATGTTGATACATTTGATTATGGCACTGAAGCATGGGTAGAAGAAGCAATTTCCAATGGTAAAAGGAGACACCAGAATACCAAATGTTTTAATTGTGGAAAAATGGGTCATATGAAAAGGAATTGTAGACAACGGATTTTCAGAAATAATAATAATAATAATAATGCATCTTTCAGAAATAATAATGCATCTTCTAGAAATAACAGAAATAGGAGGACTCAGCCTTCAGGTTTATGTAGAAGATGTGGAAAGGGCAGACATTGGACGAATGAATGCAGGTCTACAAGAGATAGACAAGGCAACCTGATACAGCCGGGAAACGTGAGAGGGGGGGCCTCACAGGCCCCCATGGCAAACATGGTTCAGTCATATCCAGTTTCTGCAGAGAACGTGCCTCCTCAGGACAATTAGGAAGCCCCATGCCTACTGTTACAAGCAATAATGATCAGAAAGATAAGTTACGTGTGTTTTGGCAAACTTCTATAAATGATCAAAGACCTAAACTAAGAGTGTGTGTAAATGGCATTTTTATTACTGGCCTGCTGGACACAGGTGCTGATGTAAGTATCATTACCCCAGAATCTTGGCATCCATATTGGCCTCTTCAGAATGTAAATGTTCAGCTCCTGGGAATTGGAACCCTATCTCGAGTAAGGCAGAGCACGAGATGGGTTGAATGTATAGGGCCCGAGGGACAAATAGGAAAATTAAAGCCATATGTAGCCAATATCGCAATGAATTTATGGGGTCGTGACCTATTACAACAATGGAATACTGAAATTAACATTCCTGCTAAATCTAGAGCCTATATTTCTGAGAATAATATTAAAAGATATTACAAATGGAGAAAACCGGCCATTCGGGCTGTACAAGAACAAGCAATTGATGTCCCTTCAGAGATACCAACAGCCTTGCCTCTAAAATGGTTGACTGAGAAACCAATATGGACAAAGCAATGGCCTTTAGCTGAGGAAAAGTTACAGGCTTTAGAACAGCTGGTACAAGAACAATTAGATGCTGGACATATAGAAGAATCTACCAGCCC